CGGCGCTCGCGCGGAGGCTGCGTGCGGCGTCAGCAAGCCCTGCTCTCGCAGCGCCGAGCACGGCAAACCTCCCACACGCCGTGCTGGGACCGTGACGTTGCAGCGCGTACGTATTTGTGGCCGCTGCTGTGGTTCCTCTCGCGGCCTGCAAATTTGCCTAAAATAAGAGCACCATTGCATAGAGATGCATGAAGTGATGCAGTGCCTTTCCTGGGGATCTGTTCTCACATGGAAGTTGATTTTGAGGCTATACTTGGCTTTGAAGGCAGCATAGGGTCACTTCCCATAGCAGGTCCTTGCCTTTCATGTTGGTTTACTTAGGGGACTTCTAGTGGTCATAGGGTTTTCCTAACAAAACTGAAAACCAAATAATACCCAGGCGTGCCCACAGCCATCCACATCCACACTGCAGCTGTAAGAATAAGCAAACCGGCCTTTTCTTCTGGATTTCATCATCACACTAGGGCTAGTGTGGAGCTGTACAGCTACACATTATAGTGACAGCTGTATTTTTTTAATAGTATCTTTACCAGAAGAAAAGGCTTTTACTTCTCTTTCTTTTAAAAGATTACTATTTTTCTAGAAACAACCTCCCATTGCTTACCCTGAGCTGCAATGACACCTCACTGTTTAGTGGTTTAACAGTAAGTCCTAACATGCCTTCTTATTAATCATAAATGTTACCAGGCTCAGCAGCCATCTCCTGAAACATCAACTATGGAAACTCCCCTGGTCCTTGCCTGTTTTTTATCACTGCCATTTAGCCAACCTGCACAAACGTCAAAGGTCCTGATTACCACGTGCCTCCCGCGAGATGCTTCCTTGCTCGTCACCTGCGGCCTCTACAGCCCATGGAGACGGTGTAAAGAAAGCGGAAAGTCTCCGACCAGGAGCTCTGGACTGGGAAAGGCCAAAGGAGGTTGGACCTTGGGCTGTAGGCAAGTCACCTACAATGGCAAGGAGCCCCTCTGACTGCTGGACATACGGAATGGGAATGGGTCTGACTTCCCTCTAGGAATTTGTACCTTAGGAAGAAGGAGGCCAGGCCATGAACAGCTGCCTGAGTTTTCCCAGCAACCCTCTCAGAGGGGCTCCATTTCAGGGGCAGTAGGCAAACTTAGTCGTCTCTTTCTAGGTCAGCTGGCACCACAATATTGTTGTGCACCAGTTTATCTGGATTTTATGTGATGTACACCCCTTCCGTGATATTATATGTATTAAGACTGAAATATTGAAATAATGTAGTAAGGTTTTCTTTAATATTAAAAATTGCTGATTCATAACCTTGCTTAGATTATTAGCAGTTCTCTTAGCAGAGCAGGCAAATATCACAAAGTTCATTAATGTTCACAGGTCAAGCCAGTCTTTTAAATCACTGCAAATCAATGACAAAGTGATCGCTGTGAGATTGGTCCCTTTTAATTGGGGAAAGGGTGAATCCGGAATGGGAGCTGTGTAGTATCTAATTGTGCAGCCTGTTACCAAAAAAAGAAGCATCTCACTGCATCTTACAAAGACATTTACATAGAAAATGCGGATTTCCTGTGGCTGCTTCCAGCCTATGTGCTGTGATATCTTTGTGAGTGCCCACAGTCTCCTAACAAGAAGGTGATGGAAAATTCAAGCAAAAACTGCATTGCTGCAATTACCACATTATAGGGGGTTCTTTTTTTTTTTTTTTTTTTTTTTTTTTTAAGTCTGGTGGCAAATAAAAGCAGGAAGACTTGAGGCATTAGTGCTTTACCCTATCTGGAAAATAAACTTTCAACCATTCCTCTTTAAGAGAGAATTTACCTAGTGATGTTAAGGAAATGTAGTGCAATATTACCTTTTCATCACAATGACAAAAATGTTTCTTCTGAAACTCCAAATTATACAGTTCAACAGCTGCTGTTTTATTGAAGGAACAGCTATTAGTGTCTTGATGATACAGTTCTTAAAACTGACCACAAAGGGAAAAAGGTTGTTTCTTGTTCCCCTGCTTTCTTCCCTCTACAGCTGGCTGCCGCTTTCCTTTTCATGGTAATCATGAAAGGGTTGAGAGCATGGAAGAGCTTTCCCTTCTCATTCTGTTTTACTTTAGAAATGTCGGGATCATTCAGTACCCTGGGCTTTGCTGAATGTCTTGAACACGTGATGGTTTAAAGCCATTTCTCTTTGGCCATTCTCACATGCCTCTGTGCAAACGGGCTCTGCCGGCGCAGCTTGGAGGCGCACACGCCAGCCTGCTCGCCCTTCCTCGTGTGCCATGGCATTTATGCCCATGTAAATGCATTCTTAGTGGCAAAAAATGCAGGAAAGGTACTGGCCCTGTATTAGAGCTGAGAATAGGCATGCTTAACTTCCATTTGCTAGCACTGCAGTAAGTCAATGCTGCTCATGCTGCCTCTGTGCAACATGGGGAGGAGGAAATCCAGCTACAGAAAGGAGGATGAGCACGGATGAT